AAAGAGTGTTCACCCTAAAAGCAGCAAACACTGCTTATTCCTGTTCATTGCAGAGAGCCACAACAGATGTGCCTTTTCCACTTCCCATTTTGCAATAAAGAATTTTGACTGGTCTTGCAGTTTGTTGTCAAAGAAATGCTTGATTTCCGAACTTACTCGTATTTGTAGCTCCTTCGCAATCTGTCGAAGCTGTTGCAAGTCAAAGAGATTGTTGTAAGTTCTCTCTGCAATACTGTTAAGGGCAGAAACAAATCTTTTTGCTTGTGACCGATTGCTCATCCCAGACCCATGCTGTGAACGTTCAAAGTCCAGTTTTCCAAACTCATCTGAGTAGGTTCCCAACATGCTAAAAATATATAAAAAAAGATCAACAGGAGGTAAAAGCAAGAGTGCATTAATCTGCTTCCTGAAACATAACTGCTTGAGAAAGCTTTCAGAAGCCACATAGGAAACCACCCCCGAGTAAGAAAGTCACTATCTAGGGAACCTAGACTAAGCATCTGTCCAAATCACTTTTGAACTTAAGTTGTTCAGCTGCAACAGAGAGTAATCACACAAGAGGAAAAACCTTCGGCAGCACCTCATGTCTAAATTACTGTGCACTGCTATGATGATACAACTCAAAGGTCTAAGTGATCATATTCAACTTAGGGCTGCTGTCAGTTTTTAAAGAAGAGCTAACAAATCTCAGTATTGGTATCATGGGCCTAAACTTGATAAAGTAATTTTTGCACTGTGTTTGTGTATCTGTATTTAAAAAAAGTTTTGAATGAATAGCACTGTGATACTTTATTTTTAAAGCAGTGTATATTACCTATATTTCATTATTTCTATTACATCCTCAGCATCTTCCTTGGTAGATTTCTCCCTTAATTCCAGCCTTGATCGTGCCTTAAAACAAAACAAAAAACCCACAAAGGTATATTTAAGATATATTACACCTGATGTGAAACTAGGCTACAATCGCCCTACAACAAGCACAAATTTTAGAAGCACAGAGATGGAGCCCGAGCCTGCAAGATTTAGAGGAAGATTCCTCTTTTTTTTTTTTCCCCCGATAGCGTTTCAATGTCATCTCCTTCACACTTGCATTATTAGGCTGTAGCTTGGAGTTTATTTGCTTTTTAAGAGTGTATTCTTGGGAAGCAGCAGATCACAAGTAGTGTTATTAAAGCATAGTGTTAGGGAAAACAGTAGCAGTTTAAGTTCAAGATGGGCAGCAGTTTGTCCCTGCCTGCACCTACTTTTTCTCCTTTTGGGAGAATGTGATAGATTCTCTTTCCACACCCTCAAGGGTCTTTTACTTTATAAGAGGCTTTAAGCATCAGTAGCTCTTAAGCATTTGTAAGTCTCTTGCATTGTCACTTTTTTTGACAGCTTATTCAGAGCTATGCTTTTCTTGGCTGTGTTTAAAAAAAACCCAACTTACAGGATATCAGTAGTAGTTTAGGAATAATCTCTTGGCTTTCAATCCCTTAAGTATTACACCTTGAATTTACCTCTGTAAGTCGAATCAGTGACTCTAGCTGCCTTGTCGTGATTGGTGTGCTGTCTATTCCTTGGTTCTGTTTCCGGAGCTCAAGGTAGAATTCCTGGAGGACCTGAGCAGCTTCTGGAGATAAATTTGGGTGAACGTACTGCCGAGCATATCCAACATACTTCCTCAGCAGCTGATGTGGAATGGCATCAAAGTTTTCTCCTGGTAAGATCTAACCCAATTACAATGAGCTTAGATTTCTGTCTGTCAGAACCCTATACAACATAAATTTTAACAGAAAATCTTCATCTTCTATGCTTTATCTGGTGAAACGCTCACTGTAAGGGCTTTAGTGCTTCATATATGAACTGTGTACTTAAAAAGTACATACACTATGCTTAGACGTGTAATTAAACACACTTGGCCATTTCAGAAAAAGTAGCCAAAGCTTCTCATTTGCAATGATAAGTGCCAAATATGACTTATCTACATCAATAATTCTTTCTCAAAAAAGAGAAAATCCAATTCTGCAATTGTTACAAGACATATCTCCACAGAAGATTAAACCGTCACTGCTGACATCCCATTTCCAAAAGTGCATGGGTTTAGCTCCAGCAGGGGATATGTCTCCCGAGACCTGGCATTTGACAATATCAGCCCTCAAACTGATCACTTAAGTTTAATAAGAAATATGCTTCCCCTCCTATAATCCCCAAATTTGTCATGAGTTGCAGATGCCCAAGGATTTGTTTACATACTGCTTTATTTGGACTCAATACTTCACAGCACATCATATTATATCAAATTATTATATCCAGTCTAGTTCTGTAGCTCTTTATTGAAATCTAATACAGCAAATTTGCTTTAGAGTATCTCACACAAAGTGTCTTCTCACTACCACAACTGAAAAAAAGCCAGCTCAGCTAATAAATTCTCTTCTGCGTGGAGATGAAGATGGCTTGAGAAACATTTTTAGCAGCTCCAGCAGGGTGGGTAATGTAGCTACAACAGACAATTGGTAGAAACTGGTGACTGGGGCCTTAAATGCTTCCTCTTCAGTTCAGAGCCAATTATCATGAGAAGAATGGGAGTGGGAGACCAAGGACATCTAGCAGGTCAGGGCTGCCAGGTGCCAATGCAAGGAACACCACAGGAAGGGGCATAGCAACAGTCACAAGACAAGTCCTACCTTTAGTCTTTCAAGCAGCGGTCGATCTGAAACAACTTCGAGAACAGAGCGATCCTGTGTGTTGGTACGAGTCACAACAGCGCTGCTGCATGCTGCCTGCTTTCCAGCTCGGATTGCCATCACGTGCTCAGACAGCAAGTGATCGTGATCTTCATTTGGGGTGTCCAGCAAAATGAAAACTAAATCAAATCTCGACAGTAAGGCACTCCCCATTCTAGAGCAAAGACAAGAAAACCATACAATGCTTGTAAAAAAAGTGGAAAAATTACAGCAACTCTGCTCCACTTCAAAGACATTTAGAAAGTCCTGTCCCATTCATTCAGAATAAATTAGAACAGCAATTTCTCTCTCAAAAGGTCATGAAAAATTGTTACAGTAAGTTCGTGTTCAAGCTCCAGGAAACTCAAAAGCAATTATATACAAACTACAAGACTGCCAGAAGCACCTGCTCCTGAATGTGAACTATACCAGCAGTGTTTCAGAAAGTGCTCACTTTAAGTTCTCAGACACTGTTTTGGCTTTGTTATAATGTCCTCCAACTGGGTTTGCTGCAGCAACAATAGACGTCCGAGCTGGCAAACTGCAAACAATGCCAGCCTTGGCAAGGCTGATATTTTGCTGTTCCATGGCTTCCAACAAAGCCTGATGCTGGTTTCCCATCTTATCAAATTCATCTATTCCACAAATGCCTGGAAGCAATTAACACAAGACAAAGACTTATTAGAAAACACATTAACTGATGGACAAGTGTATGCTACAATCCAGTGCTGATTGTACAATCTATCAGATTGTATGTTACAATCCATCAGAAGTCCAACCTAACGTCTTAGGGACTGCAGGAGACATCAGACCAAGTCTCCATTTTAGCAA